ATATGTGTGCTCTGTTATGTTTGTTGATTTACACACATTGGACCAACCTTGGCTCCTGAAATGACGGTTTGATCATGTTGCATGATTATACTGCTATGCCATTAAATGCAATCTGCTGGGATTTGTTCAAGATTTTTGCACCTTTGTTCAATAAGGATATTTTGTGTGATTTGTTGTGTTCTTGTCAGGTTTTGGTAACAGGGTAATGCTAATATATGTGTGCTCTGTTATGTTTGTTGATTTACACACATTGGACCAACCTTGACTCCTGAAATGACGGCTTGATCATGTTGCATGATTATACTGGTATGCCATTAAATTCAATCTGCTGGGATTTGTTCAAGATTTTTGCACCTTTGTTCAACAAGGATATTTTGTGTGATTTGTTGTGTTCTTGTCATGTTTTGGTAACAGGGTAATGCTAGTCTTGTAGAATGATTGGAAGGATTTCCATTTCAATTTGATGGAATAGCCTGCGGGAACATTGGTATTCATTTTTAATACTTTGCTAATATTACCCATTTAAGAATCTGGTGCAGACTTTTCTTTGGAATATTTTTATTACTAATTCAATCTCATTACTTGCTATTGTTCTCTTCAGAGTTTCCTCTCTGCTCAACTTTAGTAAATTATATGAGTCTATAAATTGATTTTTTTCTTCTAGATTTTGCCATTTGTTATCAAGTTGTCTTTTTTTAGGATAATACTGATACTTTGTATTTCTATAATATCAATTGTGGTGTCTCCTCTTATTTATTTATAGACACTATTTTTATTTAATTGACTAATTTTACTGATCCATTTATTTGCTTATTGACTTTTTTCTTTCTTTTCCTTTTGGCTATTCTGGCTAAAGATTTGTCAATTTTACTTTTCACTTCAAAGGACCAACTCTATTGTATCAACCCTGTGTATTGTTGTTTTAGTCTCTATTTCATTTATTTCTGCTATGATCTTTAAAAAAATTAAATATGTATTTTATTTTAATTATGTGTGTATGTATATGTCTTTATACATGTGTACAGATGCCTGTTCAGATCAGAGAGTATCAGCTCCCTTGAGCTAAAGTTACAGGCAGTCGTGAGCTGTGTGACATGGGTGCTGGAAATCAAACTCAGGTCTTCAGGAAGAGCAGGGGACACTCTTAACCGCTGAGCCATCTGTCCTCTGCCATGATCTTTCTTAGTTATTTTCTTCTACTGAATTTGGGTTTGCTTTGTTGCTTTTCTAAACCCTTGAGATACATAGCTGGTTTATTTAGTTGATCTTTCAGTAAATGTAGAAATTCATTAGGCTATAAATTTCCTTCTTATTGCTTTTTGCTCTAGTGTATAGGTTTAAGTGGGGTGTGTTTCCATGTGATCATCTGATTCAATTCATTTAGGTTTCCGTTCTGCCTATCTCAGTGACCCACTGTTCATTCAGAAGTGTGTTATTCAGCCTCTGTTTACTCGTATATTCAGTTCCTTTTCTTCTAGATTTTCCAGTTTGTTAATTGTTTTTAGAATCAGTTCACTTCTTTTTTTTCCATTGTGATCAGAAAAGACACAAGATAGTAGCTCCATATTTTTTTTTTTTTGAATTTGTAAGGCTTGTCTTGTGGTCTACTATCTGGATGGTTATAGAAAACTTCCACATGCTGATGCAAAGAATATTCTGCAGCTGCTGGATGGAATGTTCTGAAGATGCCTGCTAAATCCATTTAATCTGTAGTATGATCAACCCTCATTACTTAAATTGCTTTTGTCCACATGACCCACCCATTGATGGGAGTGTAATACTGAAAACCTCCATTGTCATTGCATCAGAGTCCATTTCTCCCTTTTAGTCTAATCATGTTTGTTTTAACATTTGGGCATTCTGACATGTCGTGCATATGGATTTATAATCATACCTTCCCATGATGAATTGATCCCTTGATCATTGTATCAAAGGTCTTTTTGTCTTCTGTTTATACTTTAAAGTATATTTTGCTAACTGTTCAGAAAGCTACTCCTGCTGACTGAAGATTCCAGTTACTTGGAATATCACCTTCTATATGTTCACTATCCATCTATATGTCTTTACTGTTGAGGTGAG